CCAGGCTCCTAAGCACCGTCTCCGTCTCTCTCTTCTGGTGATTGGTCGAACTCCTCCCCACCGCGACTTGTTGTGGTTGGCTGAGCAACCCATCCGTCAGAAGCCGCAGCTAGGCGGGGCTTCCTGAAGCAGCGGGGAGGGCAGTGTCGGAACTTGGGTGCTGCACTCAACAGTGATGTCTAGTTCCTAGGTACAGAAGAGAGAGACGGAGACGGTGCTTAGGAGCCTGGGATTCCTCCAGAGAGAAACTGGTGCACGCTCGGGTTGCGACGAGGGCCTGCCACAGAGCCTCCACCCTGCAGCCTCACCAAAAGCCCAAAGGCCCACGAGCGGAAAGGGCATTCCGACCCGGTCTTGGCGTCGGGGACAGTCAGCACCACGGACGCGGAATACCAAAGGAAGACAGAGTTCGCCGGAACCCCTAGCTGCCTGTTCTCGTAGGCAGCGTCGGCCCATCACACCGCGCTCCTCCGGCTTTGGAGAAGACCCCCTACCTCTCTCAAACTCGAGGTTTCAATACTGCGTCTTCTTGAAGAACGACCCCGAAAGTCAGAAAAGTTGGTATTGGGGCGAAATGAAGTGTTCCACCCACTCAAGCAAGTAGGGTACATCTGTGTCAGACGCAAATGACATGTTTTCAACACTTTTTGAAATTTCAAAGAAACGAGTAAGCACGTCCTCAGAAAACCAACAGGGCTTTACTCAGGTGGTGCAGGCCTGGGGTTGCACGCTCACCCCGGTCGCCGCCCTGGGTGCGAGCTCGGCTTGTTCTATTCATCTAGCAGGCAGATAACCGAGAGCTGGCCAGAAGCCTCTCAGGGGCGGCTCTCTGAACCACTGTGAGTGTCTTCACTGAGTTCAGCCGTCCGGCTTGTTTCTCTTACTCTAGGGAGCTACTCCACCGGATCTGCCGCGTGTCCCGGCAACCGTTGCTAGGGGGCGGGGCTCATCTTGCCGCAGCCCCGGATGCCCGCGGCTCACGAATATTTGGGTATTCAAATGAGCCCCGCCCCCGTTGCCATGGCGCCAGGTCCGCAACCCCACCGCGGTGATAAAAATAAAAAAAATAAAATAAAGCCCTCACTTGAGAGAGCGACCGCCGCGGTGGAGGGGCCTAGGGCTGCGCCCCAAGACTTGGGCACCCTGGCCCACCCCTCAGGTGAGAGCCTGGCACTGCCTTTCCATGTCCTTTGCGTTAGGGGGAACCTGGGCCGAGGAGTGCGGCCCACTTCTTGTAGGACAAGGCATACAGGACAGAGTAAGCAATAAGTGGAGTGCAGTGGAAGGGGATCACTCTCTTTTTTTTTTTTTTTGGTGGTTTGGTTTTTTCGAGACAGGGTTTCTCTGTGTAGCCCTGGCTGTCCTGGAACTCACTCTGTAGACCAGGCTAGCCTCGAACTCTCGAACTCAGAAATCCGCCTGCCTCTGCCTCCCAAGTGCTGGGATTAAAGGCGTGCGCCACCACCGCCCGGCTGGGATCACTCTTACTAGAGAAATGTATCTGGAAAAGACAGGAAGTACAGGAGTTAGGGGTCGGCCAAACCTAGATGGAGGCCACAGAGGATGACCAAGAAGAAAGAATACTTAATGTTCTGAACAGAGTTCTCACTCTATCCATTGTCTCTTGAGTATAAGATCTGGGGCCAAACACCTCTGTATCTTTAAGGAGAAACAGTTTATGGGTTTCCTACCAGAGGTGTAGAGACACCTGAAATAACTCTAAAAGTATGGGAAGGAGTGCAGGAGAGGTGGGCCCACAGAGGATAGTTGACAAGAGCATTCCCAGGATTACCCTTTAAGAGTAGAAGTCGGATTTGAATCATGTCTTCATTTGCACTGGGTGACCTAGAGGGACCCTGGCTGAATCCTCACTATATGAGCTTCATCCTCCATTAGAATGGTCACAGGGAGTTCAGGACCAGGCCTCCAACTAACCACCCCCCCATTCTTGTACCTGCTTGCTTCTGGATGCTGTGACCTTGGCCAGCTCAGGTGCCACGGAACACACTGACCTAACCAGGAAGATAACCTAATTCTCTTTTACAGGTGTTACATGTAGACATATGTGGCCCCCTTGCCCGGATGTTTGACCTACAGCAGGAGCCAGCTACCTTCAGGTACTTAGAGGAATGTGTGGTTGGAGGTAATGTCTGCTATCTTGATCCTAAACCTAGACTCAAGAGACCATTAATGAAGGAAGATCCACACTCATGGTCTGGGACAGCCCAGCCCAGGGAACTGTCAGTAACCACTTGCTACTGGTCACTACAGGCATCTTGTTCGTATCCCTAGTCTGACAGCCTTTTAAAAAAACTTTATCTTATAAGCACGTGTGTGTGTGTGTGTGACAGAGTACAAGTGCCCTCAGAGGCCAGAAAAGGGCATCTGAAGCCTTGGTTACAGGCATTTGTGAGCCATCCAACATGGATGCTAGGAATCAAACCTAGGTCCTCTGCAAAAGGAGCAAGTGCTCTTAACCACTGAGCTAGCTTTCCAGCCCCAATTCACAGCCTTTGTGAGGCCCCAGATAGCAAAGCTTGGAGCCACACTCATTGTGTGGACACTGTGGGAAACAAATATAGACCCAGGGGCCAAGGAGATAGCTCAGACAACAAATTGATTGCTTTGTAATCATGAAGACCTGAGCTTGATCCCCAAAATTATCATACAAAATGCCAGGCGTGGTAGTGTGGGGCTTATAATCCCAGCACTGTGGACACAAAGCTTAGCCTACTTGGTGAGTCCCAGGCTAGTGAGAAACCTTATCTCAAAAGTAGAAGATGGCACCCGAGGCACGGCACCCAAAGTTGTTCTCTGGTCTGCACATACACACACATGCACACACACACTAATACATACACACACACATAGTAAAATGGATAAATACATCTTTTTTAAAAAAATACATAAGCAGCTGGGCGGTGGTGGTGCACGTCTTTAATCCCAGCACTTGGGAGGCAGAGGCAGGTAGATTTCTGAGTTCAAAGCCAGCCTGGTCTACAGAGTGAGTTCCAGGACAGCCAGGGCTACACAGAGAAACCCTGTCTTGAAAAACAAACAAACAAACAAACAATACATAAAATCGAAGGGACAGTATCAGCCTAAGCAAAAAAAAAAAAAAAAAAAAAAAAAAAAAGCTGAACCTAGGGCCAGGGATGTGTGCTATCCAGTTATCTAGACCATTGACGTTGTCCCAGGCCCCTCAGGCCAGGCCCCTCAGGCTGGGAAATGGAAAGCTGATAGAAGATCAGAGTTGTTCTAGTGGCTTTGTGGGCCATTCATTGCCTTGAACTAGAACCTTGTAAAGGAGACTTGACCCTCTGCTTCTCTTAACAGGTTGGACGTGGATGGACCCAGCCTGGGATGGATCCCAGGGATCTCGACCAGGCACAGCTAGTATCCGGGTACGGGAGCTGAGCTGGCAGGGCCTAAACAATCCCCACCCACAAAACAAGAGACTGGGCAGCCATGGGGATATCCATAGGGATCGGCGGGTGGAGGAGCACCTATCCCCTGCTCGATTGGTAAGTGATTAGGGCCTGAGGCTCCGCCATGGGTCTGCATGAAGTGACATCCTGGTACCCTTTCTGCTGATATCTAGCTTTCCCTCCACTAGGTACCCCCTGCCTTTCTACCCTTAGGGTCCCTGCCAGTAACCCCAAGTGACAGCAGACACAAGCATCCCCAGGCATTGAGATCACAGATGGCACTGTTGGGCCAAGATTCCATAACTATTGTCTGAGGCCTGTGCTCAAGCCAACAAGAAGTCCTTTACTCAAGAGCTAACATTGCAACAGGGAGGACAAAGAGGTGGCATAGTGGGATGCTGGAAAGGCAGCTGGTCATGGTCCATGGCTCCCTACCAAGGCTAGAGTTTTTCTGTCTCCTCTGTCCCTGCCTCAGGCAGGGTCTGTCCTTGGTACATTGACTACATTGGCAGCAGGTAAAGATTTTCCTCCAAATCTAGTGTGAGAGCCCATTGTTGTACCCCATCCCTGAGTCCTAAGGTTTTGTAGAGTCCACCTGGGTGATTCTGATGCTCTCAGTACTTAGAGTTTACAACTTACTCATGGTTGACCACCATGAAGGAGAAAACCTGGGTGGATGGTATCACCCAGGAACTCCTCAGAGTAACTGGTTAGCCTGCTAGGCCAGAACCTGCATGTGCTCCCCAGGGTATCCACTGATGCCATAGCAGGTGTGGCCCGGGGTCCTAAGAGACCACAGCAGCATTTTACACACAAGAATGTCTTGTCTAGTCCATCTACAAGAACAGACAGACCAGTAGGTCTCCCACGCCTTGACTTCCAGCATGAATGTTTTTGTATGTCCTCTGGTCCAGGTATGCTGTGGCTGGATGCTGCTCAGCAGGCCGCTGGGGTCCAACTGCATTGTTGGGTCTGTTCTGAAGGTCTCATCTAGAGACTGGCACCCCAACTGCAGGCCCTTCCCTGGCAACACTCCTTCCCTGATAGTCAAACAGTTACAGTCTCTGCTCATGTCATGCCCACCAGCCAAACTCTTATGGAAAGCCCAACCTGGATGAGTCAGGGGAGCACCTCCACCTGCTCCAGTAGGCACCTTTACAGAGTCCTCAGCCGAGAGCATGGAGAGAGCCTGGAGTGACACCTGATGATTTCTGCAGCAGGCCCTGGCCCAGGTAGATGACCTCCAACTGGTGAGGGTGCTGGAGATGTGTGTGGACACCCGTAAGAACAGCCTGGGAAACTTCGGTGAGAACCGCTGGTCACACCCATGCCCCCGTGACTGTCACAGCTAGACCTTTCAATGAGCCAATTATATTTCCTGGTTGTAAATGAAAAGCTAGCAAACACCTTGGGCAGCATGTCTCTTTCCTTAAGATTGGACCTTAGAACTAAGATCCATCCATACTCAGCTTAGAAGTTTTAGCCTGGGGGTCTATATTCTTAAATGACTTTTCAGAGGGGCCACACCAAATCCCAGTACCAGTATGGCAAAATAGCAAAGGTACTGTGCACCCATGCAAAGTACTCCCAGAGCTTATTTGGAAATGATCTGGAATTTATAGATGCAGTGTACAAATATTATATTGATCCCTCATGAACCCTTTCCCCAGAATCCCCTTCTACAATTACCACAGAGATGTTATCATTCTCTCTCTCTTACTCACAGCTTCACTTGAGCACACACACACACCTGAAAACCATGTTTTTTTAATCTGTTTAAGATATGGTTCCTCTTGTTCATTAATGCTTTAGTGCCCGCTTCCTACAGAGAACATTATCTTAAGTACTCTCAGTACAAAGATCCAAGTCTGAAAATAATACTGATTGAGCGCTCTTATCTATGCCACAGACCTTGTTCAAATTTCACCAAAACCATCCCAACAGGAAAGATTCTTGATGTTCAGGATGCTTGTGCATTTTGTTTGCTTTTCTCTGATTACAAGTGAAGTTAAACACTCCCCATCCTGGTTAGCTTGGTTTTTAGTTTTGCATATAAGTGTTTGACAGCTCCATGTAGGATCTCTGTGGACCTGTGAAATCAAAGAACACCTGCTCTTACTTGGGGCCTTATAGGCTATTCTACACCCCTCTTTTCATCTTTCAGGGATTCTGTCTCAGAGGGCCAAGGTCCCACCCTAAGAAGCTTTGAAAATGGGAGCCTTCTGGAGCTTTAGGCTGTGCAGGACATTGGCAGGGCATTCCTGAGATATGTTACCTAATTTGCTGCATAGTGAGAGATCTCTCTCAGGGTGGGGGATGCGTCAGTCAATAAGGGGAGATGCTCAGGGTTCACCTCACCCATGCCACCCTGGATCCACTTCTAGCTAACTCCTTGCCAGTGTGTGTACCTTCTGCACCATTTTACCTGTGCTAGCCTATACATGGGTGAAAGGGCATGTGGTCCTACATGGTGATGGAGAGAAGGTTCAGAATACCCTCAGAGGACCCACAGAGTCAGTCCCACTATGAGCCAGAAGAGGCCATGGGCCTGTGAACAGCCCCTTAGATGTTGATGCCTCTTGGGAGTATAGGGAAGAGAAGACACTGCAAAGACGTGGGCAGGGTTGTTGGGGCCAGGCCAACCTCTTCTTCCTATGGTCCACAGGATTGCACCTCCCTAACCTGATCCAACTGAAGCTGAACCACAGCTGCCTGGGCTCCCTCAGGTGAGAGTCTGGTCTAGGGCAAGCAAGGGCTGGGCCTGGAACTCAGCGATGGCAGGCTGCCCCTATTTTCAAGACTCTGTTTTACCCTGTTGACCCTTGGAGGGTGAAGGCTACTGTCAAATGGTTTTAGAGACATTATTCAGGTGTGGGCTCTGTGGAAGGGGGAGAGGAGAGACTCCAGGGTAAGACCCCTTATGGATGGGTCCCAGGTATTCTGCCTTCCAAGTATCTTGGTGTCCCTGGCTCCTATTTCTAGCACCCTACAGTGAGGCAAGTACCTCTTATCACCCTCCTATGAGGTACCTGTCACTTGTGAGTGATAGGAAAACCAAAGCTGGGGTCCTGTTCAAGGTGGTCACACTAGGTCCTGTGGCTGGTAGGCCAAGTGTGTTCCCTGACTTCCAGAAAAGTGAGGGGTTTCTGGCAGACAGCCTCAAACCAGTCTAGACTTAGAACTTGCAGAGATCCCTTACTTCATTGCAACCCAGGCATTAATTATACCCTAAGGTCCAGGAGATAGAGGGAAGTGGCTGATATCCCTAGGAAAAAGAGAAGGTAGGCGCTGCCTCCAAGCTGACACTCCTCTTGAAGCTAGACGCAGCAGAACACATATCTCCTGAACAGGGACTGAAATATTAAGAAAGTTTAGTGTTCTCAGAGTTCTCAAGAACTAGCTTAAAATATTGCATTCAAAATGCTAGGCCACCTTGTGGTTCTGTCTCACAGGACTAGAAAGAACGAAGCAAGAGTACCAGCAGACTCACAGTTTGAATAAAGGTGTTTGTGAAGATGCTGCTGGCCCAGGCCTAGAAGTGTAAGGAGGGAAATTCCAGTCAAAATTCTAGAAAGAGGCTGGGATGTAGTTCAGTTGGTAGAGTGCTTGTCATTCATACATGAGCTCCTGGATTCAATCCACAGCAGCAGACACACACACACACACACACACACACACATTGCTCTGGCTCTCTCCTCTTGCTCTCATTTTCGCTCAAGTTTTTAACTATCTGAATTGGTGTGGCATCCAGTTGTTTCCCGTTGATCTCCTTACATTGCTGTTTAACAAATAAAGCATTAAACAGAATTCAACAAAACAATGAAGATGTATAAATGCAGGCAAAGATCTGAGAGCTGATGCCTCTGCATCATGGAGCCACTCGGTGCTGGAGCCCAGCAGCCCTTTCTAGAGAAGACACAGGACCTGGGCTTGCATGGTTTTCTAGCAGGTGGCTCTTCCTTCAGATTAACAGAGAAGTTTTCTAGGTCTGGGTGAACAAATTATTTCAAAGAACAATAAAGGTCTATAAAAAGAAAGCACCTAAAATAAAATGAAGGATGCCAGGTATGGTAACAAACACCTTTAATCCCAGTACTTAGAAAGCTGAGGCAGTGTCATTTCTGTAAACTCAAGGCCAACACAGTGTACAAAGTGAATTTCAGGCCACCCAGGGCTGCACAGTGAGACCCTGACTCTAAAAAACAAACAAACAATAGAAACCATGACACAGAAGTAAAGGTGGCACACACTAAGGAATAATGAAGCTGGGTGTAGTGGTGCAGGCCGGTGATCTCACACTAAGTATCAAAGTTGAAGGTTAGCTTCAGCTCCATAGATAGTGAGTTCAAGGCCAACCTGGAACACATGTGACTCTGTCTCAAAATGACAAAAAAGAAACATAACAAAATAATTCTAAAGGAAATATATTGAGATTGCAAATGTTTTGAAAACACCCTCAGCAATTTGATCACGGCAAAGAAAAGTGTAGTGCGATTTTTCTTTCTTTCAGTTATCCAATCCTGTACCTAAGCTCATTGGTGTTTACCAACCTGGAATGATTGAAAATTAACAGATATTTATAACAGGAAACAGATTGAATAACAGCATCCCCTAAAGTGCTATTTTAACTTAGATGACTGCAAAGATGAGCATTAAATATTAAAATCTCAGGTAGTGTCATAAGGGCTAGGAAATAACTTTAATATGGTGGCTGTCATCTCACCTGAAGCTGAGATAATTTAGCCCCTAAAATAACTGCCAACATACATGCAAATGTTCTAAATGCATGGGCTGGAACTGACACAGAAAGACTTCATGCTGTCAGAGCTTGGTCAAGCATCTGTTGCTCAGTGCAACTGTGTGTGAAACCCCACTTACACTCTGATGCCCCACAGATAATTTGTTAAAATAAATTTGGATGGTCAGGCAGTGGTGGTGCATGCCTTTAATCCCAGCACTTGGGAGGCAGAGACAGGCAGGTCGGTGAGTTTGAGTCCAGCCTGGTCTACAGAGATAATTTTAGGATAGCCAAGATCACACAGAGAAAACTCTTGTCTCAAAAAACCAACCAAACAAAACAAAATTGCACCCCTTTTACATGCTTATCATTCTCTTCTCCAGAGAGGTGCTGGGGCTCAATTCCTATACCATGTGCTAATTTAGGGATGGATTATCTTTTCTTGTAAATTCCTAGGAATTATCTTTTATATTCTGGTGCAAAGTTGTCTGCAAAGCAATGTCATTCCCAATAAACTCCAGTCTGGCCTGTCATTTGTGAGGACCATGTGTATATGCAAAGAACTCTGGATCATCAGCCGGTCTCCTCTTACCTCAGTACTGGGTTATCTATGTAACTTCACAGTCTGTACTACACTCTCCTCTGCTAACCTTACTGCAGACTGACCTTGATAGTCCTCAGTCATTGTGGCTCTAGTTAGTTGGGATGAGGTCATGTTGGAAGAAGGTAGGCCCTATCAGTGAAATGAGAAAAAATCAACACACATACTGAAACATGCCATAAGAAGATAAAGTTGAAGGTTGGCAGCCATGCTGTGAAACCAAGACATCAAACATGACCTGGGAGGTGCCTCCATCTACAAAGGGGGCTATTTCCCCTGTGAAGTATAGGCAATGTCCTCAGAACCCTTTTCCACACCACTAGTAAGAACTGGCACAGTTTCTTCCACCAACTATTATCTAAGAGATGGGAATTATAGACTTAGTGGATCAACTAGCTCTACCACCTACCTCTTGCCCCTGGACCAGGTAATACTTAGAATCAGGTTCCTAAAACCAGAGCCACATAGGCCACATATACTGCAGTAGCAGTGGTTGTATATACTATCTTGTTTCTGTTTTCTTTTTTTTCTTTTTGTGTAATTATTACAAATGTGAGGAAATACTATACTAACAGGTATAGTGGTTCACACCAGTAATCGCAATGCTTAGGAGGCAGAGGAAGGGGTATTGTGATGAGTTTGTGCCCAGACTGGACTATAGAGTAACTCTGACCCAGCTTGTCGGAGAATGAGATGCTATTCCAAAAGTTGAAAGGAATGATAGGAGGAAGGAAGGGAACAAATAGCAAACAAAGAAGTTTCTTGTTATTGTTTTTGTTTGTTTGTTTTGAGACATCATTTCTCTGTGTAGCTGCGGTTATCCTAGAAATTCCTCTGTAGGCCAGGCTGGCCTTGAACTCACAGAGATCTGGCGGCCTCCTCTGCCTCCCAAGTGCTGGGATTAAAGGTGTGAGCTACCACATCCAGCTAGCAAAGCTTTTAATAATTGCCAGAAACTGCTAGACAATAGTGGCCCATGCCTTTATCCCAGAATGTAAGAGGCAGAGTCAAGCAAATCTCTGAGTTCTAGGACATCCTTGTTTACAGATTGTTTTCCAGGACATCCAGAACTAAAGAGAAAAACCCTGTCTTGAAAAAAAACAAAACAAAATGACAACAACAAAAAATGACAGAAACTGGGCTGAAGCTATAGTTGAGTCTCTGGTTAGATCCCCAGCACTGTATAAACCAAGCATGGTAGGTAGCCCATGCTTGTAATACCAGAATGTGAAAACTCATGCTCAACTACATATGGAATTTGAGGCCAGCCTAGGATACATGAGACTCTACCTGCCTACTCTCTGAGGTTAAAAGAAAAAAAAAAAAAAGACCTGAGAAGAAACACTATTGGTTTCCTGAGTGGGTCATGTCTTGTTTTCAGCATTACACCATCAGATCACAGTCTTGCCTCCTGATTGCTAGCCCTTTTGCTATTTTTTTTCTTGCTTTATAGTGCTAGTTAGGGCCTAGTAGCCAGAATGATAGTAGCAGGCATCCTGAGCTTATTCCTGATTTTGACTGGCATGTGTCCATTGTCTCCATCAAGGATGATGTAACTGACATTTCTCCCTTAGTCTTATTGTTGTGTTCTCCCTTAATGAATTTTATTGACCCCAATGTCAATACTACTGGATTATATTTCCATTTTTCATTATTTATATACTTACGGGTATTTTGCCTGTATGTATGTCTATATACCAAGTGTATGCCTGGTACATGAGTAGAGCAGAAGAGGTCTTTGAGTTCCCTGACACTGGGGCTACAGATAGGTATGATCTGCCATGTGGGTGTTAGTACCGCTCGTCCTCCGGAAGAATAGCCAGTGTTCTTACCCTCTGAGCTCTCTCTCTCTCTTAAGCTCTGGCCTCCAACTTTGATGGTAGTGCACCTGCCTAAATAAACCTCCCAGATTAAGGCATGTGGTACCATAGGCTAGCCTTGAATTTTGCTTAACCTAGGCTATATTTAGACTCAATATATTCCTTTGCCTCAGCCTTTTAAGTACTGATATACACCTCAACCCCCAGAGTTTGTTTGTTTGTTTGTTTTTGTTTTTTCAAGACAGGGTTTCTCTGTGTAGTCCTGGCTGTCCTGGAACTCACTCTGTAGACCAGGCTGGCCTCAAACTCAGAAATCTACCTGCCTCTGCCTCCTAAGTGCTGGGATTAAAGGCGTGCACCACCACCGCCCGGCAATCCCTAGTTTTATAACATACTTTTAAACACGGCTCAACCAGAAGAGTCCTACTATCAAATCAGGTTTTTGTTGCTCATGGTGGTGATGGTGGTAGTAGTGGTAGGGGCAGGGAATGTATTGTGCACACACATATATGCAGGTGGCATTGCCTATGCATATTCATGTGGAGGCCAGAGGTCAACATTGTCTTCCACGATCACACATTATTTTTTTAAGATATGATCTCTCATTAAACGCAGAGCTTGATGTTTCAGTGAGGTAAGCTGGCCAGTGAACCCCTGGGATGAGCCTACCCCGGCTCCTTGCTTCTCAGTGCTTAGACTGTGTGTATGCCGCTATGCCTGGCTTAAGTGGGTGCATTCCTCATTCTTGCACATCAGGCACTTTACCCACTTAGCCATCGTCTCTGTTTCAGTCAGTAACCACCTTGTCAAGGTTTAAAGCTGTTGGTGCATGCTTCATAATAGTCTTTTGTCATCTTCCATCACTGCCATGGCCACCTTGACTCTCTTTTCAAATGCACTGTATGTGCACTGTCTCTCTTAACTTTAACCCTTCATAGTCTTGCCAGTTAGAAAATCAAGTCTGGGCAGTTAACCTTCTCTGCTTGTTACAGCTCAGCCTTCTCCTGAACTCACTCATCCTTCCCTCTTGGCTTCGTTATTGTTTCTTCTCCTTGAGCTGAGGGCTTGCTGCAGTTCTAATCCTCCAGCTTTTTTCTTTTTTCAAACAGTCTCAAGTAACCCAGGCTGACCTAAAACTCGCTATATAGCTAAGACTGGCCTCAAATTATTTTTTGTTATTTTATTTATTGTTATTTATTTATGGTTATGGTTATTTTGCCTGCCTGCATGTATGTCAGTGAGCCATATGCATGCCTGGTACTCTCAGAGGCCAGAAGAGGGTGTCAAATCCCCTGAAAATGGAGTTTTAGGTAGTCGTGAGCTGCCATGTTGATGCTGGGAATTGAACTCCGGTCCACTAGAGAAACAGCCAGCACTGGTCCATCACCTATCTCTCCAGCACCTGGTCCTGAGTTCATCATCTTCCTGCCTCTGCTTCTACATCCCATGTACCAAGAATACGGGTGTGAGCCACAGTGCCTGGCTTGGTTTGTCTGGTTTTTGGCTTTTTGAAACAGGGTTTCTCTGGGTATCCTGACTGTCCTGAAATTCTTTCTCTCTGTTGATTGGCTATCCTTGAGAGATCCACCTATATCTGCCTCCAGAGTGCTGGGATTAAAGGCATAAGCCACCACACCCAGCTTCTTTTATTTAAAATATTCAGTGGTTGGGGGGTCTCACTAGGTTGCCCAGGCTAGCCTTGAACTGAGGTCATGATATTGTCTCCTTCAGCTTTCTGAACTGTATGCAGTACAGGTGTACCACCATACCACGCTATTTTAACTTTTTAAAATCTAGACTTTTCTTTGTATCTGTTACAAGACTCTACAAATGGTATATGCTTTACTTTTTGCCATCAACTCTTAAAAATTTTTAAGTTTTCCTATTATTACAAGGTATGGCAAAATCTAATTATTTCCTAATACTCCTCTACAACAATAAGAATCCATCTTTAGCTGGATAAGTGGCCCACCAAACAAATGGAAGTGGCCTGACTCCTTGAAGCTCAGCAGTCATGTAACTATTTTTCAGAGCTCCAGGGTGCAAGAAGTGGCTAAGCTCAGAAAAGGAATGGGCAAAAACAACTAAACTGCCTCAGCTACAAGCAAACTGAAGGCATTCCTTCCCTCAGGAAACCAATGTGAGCTAAGACCGGTGTGAGAAAACTAAAACTCTGTGACGGAGTTTAAAAGACAGACAGTGCCGCAGTTAAGAACACTCGCTGCTTTCCCAGAGGGCCTGAATTTGGTTCCCAGCAGTCATGTCAGGTAGCTAACAACCATCTTTAACTTCAGCTCTAGGTAGTGGTCTAACCTTCTTCTGGTCTGCCAGGATATCTTCACACACAAGGCACATAAGTAAAAATAAATCTTGAGCCGGGCGGTGGTGGCGCATGCCTTTAATCCCAGCACTTGGGAAGCACAGGCAGGCAGATTTCTGAGTTCGAGGCCAGCCTGGTCTACAGAGTGAGTTCCAGGACAGCCCGGGCTACACAGAGAAACCCTGTCTTGAAAAACCAATAAATAAATAAATAAATAAATAAATAATAAATAAATAATAAATAAATAAAATTAAAAAAATAAATCTTGTTTTTAAAGGGTCACAAAGGAAGGACAGAACCAGTTCCAACAAGCTGTCTTCTAATCTCCACATGGATGCCATGGTGTCATATATACATGAGTAGACACACACACACAGAGGAAAGAGAGATAAGGGGGAGGGGAAAAGGAGGGAAAGAGGGAAGGAGGAAGGGAGGGAGGGAAGAAGACAGATAGATAGCCGGTGTGGTGGTACACCCCTGTATTAAGAGAGACACAGAGAGGAAAGAGACAGAGGGAAACAAAGAAAAGAAGAAAGAGAATAAACTACTATGAAAAATAAGAGTCACAGAGATGGTGACAGAGAGGAGGCCTAACTCAGAATCTGAGATCTTGACAGAAGTAAACTGATGATAAAACATAGAAAATTCAAAGACTACAGGAAACATGTCATAAAGTAAAGAGGCTTTGGAAAGAAAAAAATCAAAACATAACTGACTCCAGGATAATTAAGAAAAAAATCAAATTGCTTTTTTTTCTGAGACAGAGTTTCTATGTAGAGCCCTGGCTGTCCTGGAACTCACTCTGTAGACCAGGGTGGCTTTGAACTCACAGAAATCTGCTTGCCTGTGCCTCCTAAGTACTGGGACTAAAGGTATGCACCACTACACCCAGCTTCAAATTGCTTTTAAGAATGGGAAATGGGGCTTTCCTCAAACTCCCATGAAACATTCAAAGGCAGAAAAAGGTAGAGCATTGCCCTCAGCAGCAGGAAGACAACATTGCCAAGACATGCTCACCCCAAGTAGCTATACCAGCAGAAACAGCAGGGGTCTGTGAGAACCAAGAAATGAAGATTATCTGGATAAGACTATCTGCACAGGGTAACTAGAAACAAATTCTATCCAAGGGATAATTAAATAGTCATTTGATTACTGGTGTGGTGGTACACACCTGTGCTAATAAGCTGAAACATGAAAACTGCCTCAAGTTCATGGCCAGCCTGAGCTACAGACTGAGAACATTTTGAAAGGGGAGTCGGAAAGATGACCTAGCAGTTAAAAGCACACACTGCTCTTCAGAGGACCTAGATTCAGTTCCAGTACCCACACTGAGGGGCTTGGCACCACCTGCTACTCTAACCCCAAGGGATCTGATATCCTCTTTTGCCCTCCATGAATACCCACACAAATCTGTATACACACACACACACATTTTAAAAAGGAAAGAAAATGGTGATTTAAGGCAACTGAGTAAATGCTGAATCTTTACAACTGAAGGACAAAGACTAAAAATAAATGTACAGTAACAGCAGAAAACAAGCCCCAGATGGGCTCCATGGTAGATGAGTCCTTACCAAAAGGACTTAGGGCCATGAGAAACAGGTAGTTCATGAAGCCTGAGGTCAGGAGGCAATTTTACTACCAGGCAAAGAGCAGTTCAGTGCTACAGGAAGAGCATCACAGCAAGAGAGAGCAAGGACAGACCCTTAGACACAGAATCTGTATCCATTTCAGGGAAAAGAGGCTCCATGGGTATAGTAGGCCAGCATGGGAGGGAAAGCCGCAGGTAGCAGGTAGAGCTGGGCTAAGGCAGCAGCTTGAAGGCAGTTCCTCAGGGTCAATCTGGTATGTCTCAGGCTGGCCCCCGACCCTTCTAAACAAGTGGGTGCTGAGCACCCAGCATGTTTGGGAAGTGTTGGCTCTAGGGACTGCTGCGCCCACAGACATAAGCTGTCCAGGAACATACTTTAACTATGCCCAGGATGCTACAGCAGGGAAAGGTGGGGAGTAGGGATCTCAAGAGCCCATCAGCTGGACGCTACCACAAGCAAGTCACAGCTATCCCTGCACCCACGGGCAGCCAGAGTGGGTGGTAGCATGGCATTGGCTTCTGTTGGCTAAAGACAACCCCATGACAGGACTGATCACTTACAGTAGTTACTTTTTATTGTTGCTGCTGTGGCTAAATACCTGGTGAGAAGCAACTTAAAGGAGGAGAGGTTTATTTGGTTCATGATTTAGGGGCTACACCATCAAGGCAGGGAAGGCATGACAGCAGGAGTAGTAGCTCATATCCGTGGAAGTAGAAGCTTGCTCACATCTGAGCAGATTAAAAAGCAGAAAATGGAGTGCCAGCAATCAGCTGGCTTTCTCCCTTCCCTCATTTTACTTTCTTCAGGATCCCTGCCCATGAGGAGATGCCACCCACATTCAGGGTAGATCGTCCTTCCTCAGTTAAATCTTTCTGGAAATGCCTACACAGACATATGCTCCCAAAGTGTCTCCTAAGTGATTCTAACTCCAGTCAGGTTGACATTGAAGATTAACCATCACACCACTCTGCCTGCCTTCTGCAGAGACCTGGGCACTTCTCTGGGCCACCTGCAGGTGCTGTGGCTGGCTCGCTGTGGCCTGACTGACTTGGATGGCATTGGCTCCTTCTTGGCACTGAAGGTAAGTCTGTAGCACTTGGGGGCAAGGAATGGAGATTAGGTCAGACCCCAGCTGAGATCCCCCATGTGGTCCTTAGGAACTTTATGTCTCTTACAACAACATCTCGGACCTGAGCCCACTGTGCCTGCTCGAGCAACTGGAGGTGCTGGACCTTGAGGGCAACAATGTGGAGGACCTGGGGCAGATGCGGTACCTGCAGCTGTGCCCACGCTTAGCCACACTCACACTGGAGGGCAATCTGGTGTGCTTGAAGCCAGACCCTGGCCCTTCCAACAAGGTGTGTGTGTGGCACACCCAGTCAGCATATATTTGGGAGGGGCCCCCACAGAATGAGGACCTCTAGGCCCACATGTACCTTCTGGCTTGTTCCCTGTGAGCTCTATCTCTTCTGTTGCTGGAGGCCTAAACAGCCTAACTCTGTTTTGAAATATCAGGTATACGCAAGCTCCTTTACAGCAGGTGAATCCACATGTACCCCACAAATGCCTCACATGCTCCAAGTTCACTGTCTACCTCAGTAACCACTGCTTGTTGACCCATGATCAGCTCCACATGCTAGAGGGCTTCCTTAAACCTTGGCTCTGGGCTTCAGGGGTGAGGGTACACATTCTGAGAGGATGAAAGTCCAGTCCCACCAGGCCTTAGGCTTTAGTAGGATAAGGCAGTATCACTCTCATCTCCTTGGTCCTGCACCATAGCAGTCTGGAAGAGGGACTCCCAGGAAACAGCTGACCTACAGGGCTCAGTAAACTCAGGTCTACTGCCCTCCCCGCTCTCTCCTTATAGGCACCCCAGGACTACAACTACAGAGCAGAGGTAAAGAAACTCATCCCTCAGCTCCACATCCTAGATGAGGTACCCACCACATGCACCGACTTGCCTGCTCCCCAGAAGCTGAGCCAGGACTGGCTGATGGTGAAGGAAGCCATCAAGGAAGGCAGCGTGCTTGACATTCTCCTCCCTCGGCTGGGTAGGCCAGACATTTACTACAGATGTCAATACTATGCCCCAACCCCTGACTCCAGAAGAGACTTCTACCAGCCCTCCAGGAAGACAGGCCTCCACCAGTTCCCCAAGAGGACAGGATTCCTTGAACCCTAAGAAAAAAGACCTGCACTAGTTCCGCAGGCCTTTGAGAGATGGGTGACTGCACTTTATTCCCTTTCCAGTCATATCTCCCCAGATCCACGCACACTGGCCCCAGGTCAAGAGAATCCCATGAACAGCAACAAACAATTGGCTTCCCCTGTCCTATGTTGAGGGAGAGGAGGGTCTGAGGCTGTGGATCTTTCTGGAAGGAAAAGGAACTATCAAAGGCCAGTCCTGGGTCACATAGCTTCTTGAATGACAGGGTTGTGCTCTGTGGTCTGAGTTTGAGGCATGCTGGCTAGCATGAGCCCAGTTATCTCTGGTTCTAACCCTGGACAGATTGCCCCCACGGAGCCACCATTCGGAAACTTGACCCAACCTTGCCTGTGCCTGAGACTCAGCCATGGGCCTTGTCCCTGCTGGTCCCTGGGGGCCCCTTGCCTGAAGGTTTGCTTTCTGAGAACCCAGCCACAGAAGACCATGCCAGCAACCTCACCCATGGTAACTGAACCTATATGTCCCAGTGCTGACCCTGCAGTACCTTGACCCCAAACCATAGCCGTACCCTCTTCTTCAGGTCCGGGTCAAGTTCTCTGTGGGAACCCCACCAAAGGCCTTCGGGAACGAAGAAACCAGTACCAGGTATGCCTTTCCCAGACTCCAAAGCAGGCAAGGACTATAGACCTCTTTCCCAAAGTAGACCATCACCTATTGCCCACACCCCACAATATACCATCACCCAGAACCTTCTCCTGAATTAGACTACTACCCAGAGCTTCCCCCACCATATATCAATGTCCAGGACTACTGGCATGCCCATGCTCTGGCCCTCCCATTCCAGGGTCAGGGTCCCCATACCAGCCCTTTCCCTCTCTAGGAATGGGCACCCCTGGAACAGCTGCCCCCACATAGGCCAGATCTGGCCATCAGGCCCTCCACCCCAAGGCCTGACCCTGCAGAAAGCTGTGACCTGGCCATGACTGGGCTTCGGGCCTGGAGGGAGCCTGGCCTGCGGTTGGTGCCCCCTCTCTGCCAGCCCTATCACCTTTTATCCTGTGTGGTGTGGGGGGCATCTGGGATGGAAGCTTCCATGGCTGAGCAGCCACTGGTCCCCCAGGATAGCCACAGGAGCCACAGGCCAGTGATCCATCCCAGTGTGATGGTCATTTGGGTCTGGGTCTGAGACAGACATGGTTGCAGCTCTCCCTTTTCCCCACCTCAGTCCTCTTCTCCAAAGACAGCTGGAGTTCCAGCAGGAAAGACCTGCTCAGGTCCAAGCCCAGGACTCACAGAAGGCTCCTGTAGAACAGGAAGACCAGACTGGACCCAAAACTTCCCTAACCCCACCACGCCTGGCCTCAGGTACTACCCCGAAGCCTAAGAGTAACCTAATCCCTCACCTGGGTATGGATATCCCCACCTCAGAGCAGCCTAATATAGTTCAACCCCTTCCTTTGCCAGGCTCTGGGAGGAGCTGCATAAGACAATCCTTTAAGAAAAGTAGGGATGAGTAGGTTTCAAAACCTAGAGAGGGTTCCAGCCCAAGTCTTCCTCCACACCATAACCCCTCAAGGGCACCTGGGCTAATAAACGAGAGAGGGAAGCATTCCACAAAGGAGGATACAGGGCAAGTCCAGAGGCAAGCATCTGTTGAGAGCCTCATGGTAGCCAAGGGTATCCAGAAACAGACAACAATTCTCAGGAGAAACTGGTAGGAATCCAGGGGTAGGAAAGTACCTAACAGAACTATCAGGAGACCAAGGCAGAGAAGGTTAGGAACATCCAGTGGCTTCAACCCAGGCAGGACTGACCTGGGTTGGCATAGAGATACAGAATTAAGCCAGGCAGAACCCTTTCCAAAAGAACCAGAGTAACTGCAGATGAGGAGACCCCTACCCAGCAAGCCTTACAAAGGTACATTGTAGACAAGGACAAAAAGAGAAGTGCAAAGGTTGTCAATGACCATCTCTGAAGGATCAAACAACCATACTTTTGCGCCTCTGTAGACTGCCTGGTGCTTGGGGCAGTGGGCAGCAAGAGGGCCTTGAGAGGATCAACAACTGGCCATCCTGTGGACGAGAACTGTACAGGTTAAAGGACAGTAGGAGGGTGACCAGCAGAAGGGTTGTCTGGAACAGTGCCTGAATCTCCTGCTACAGATGTTAGACCTAAAAGGCACTGAGTGACCCTAGCCACCAACCTCATGCTATTACAGAAGCTTAAAAACTAGGCCTTCAAGGATGAACCATACTAGAGGATGAAGTTTAGATGACCCTGAGCCAGAGCCCAAGCCTCATGGCACTTTGTTGGCCTTAGAACAGTTGTTTTCTACCTCCCTAATACTGTAACATAGTTCCTCATGTTTAGTGACCCCCAACCATAACATTATTTTCATTACAATTCCATAGTGGTAATTAGCTACTGTTATGAATCATAAATATCTGATATGTAGGATATTTGGTATGCAACCCCTGTGGAGGTCAAACCCATAGGTTGAGAATCATTGCCCTAGAACTAGCCACCGGACTGAAGCCATATTTTCTCTGGGAAGCAGATGAAGCAGGGCAAAGGGAGGTAGCCTAGTGGGAAAGGGATGCTGCCCACCTGTAGGTATCACAAAGGTCTTTAAAACACTCTCTACCTGTAGTTGCACTCCCCCTAGTCTGCCACCATCTCCAGGCTGTAAGGTTATGGATGGGCACTAACTAACCATCTTGTCTGACAGGTCCTCTCTGACATGCTGTTTTCTTCCTTGCTTTCTAGAACTTTCCAGGACATCAGGCTTTCATTTGATCCCTTCTCCCCCAAAGTACCCAATGCCACCTGAGTCAGGCATCAGCTCCTTGGGGAGATCTGCAGACCTGCCCTTCAGAGGACGTAGGCTTAGAGTCCTGGGCAGCTTGGGGCCTAGCCTGGGTGAGGGGTCTGTCCTGGGTGAGAGATTGGCTGCAGTGACTGCCTTGAGAACCCTGGAGGTATCCTCAGGCCCCAGCCATCGAACCCAGGGGTGTCCAGACCCAAAGCCAGCACTAGGTCCAGCAGCTTGCCCTTCAGGGCTCCACTGCCTTCATCACCTGAACCCTATCCCTCCAGCCCATTCTCTCCCTTAGTATAACCCTCCCTGGCTGACATCTCTTGGCCTAGGTGGGGCCATAGTGAAGTGGGTGGAGCTGGGGCTGGACTCTTTAGATATCCCAGGACTCTGGGTCATCTATATGGCCCAAATTCTGAGCCTGCTTATCCTAGGGCTCAAAATGGCACAACCATCCTGGGAAGATTCGCAGGTTTCCTTATGTGGGGCAGTTCCTTTCTCTTGGGATACCATATACCCTCTGTAAAAGCCAAGCGAATCATTTTCAACTCTCAGGTATGCAGAAATGTGCTTTACTTTGTAAGCAATGGTTGGTTCAATAAATTATGAAGCTGGCACTGCCTGCCTGGCCTGGCTGACCTACAACCGCCGACACAATTCCTCAGTGATGGGAGGGTAGCAGAGGAAGCGGAAGCCATATCTGCTTTCAGCTGTGTTCTGTACTGACAGGGCTACCATGGGGCAACTCAGGTCCACGCTTTTCCGGCATACCTGCAGAAAACACTGGGGCCTAAGAGCTGTGTGGATTAGCAGATCAAAGAGTCTTGGGCCACAGCATTACACTCACCTGGACCTTGCGCTCCTGCCTACCCAGTGAGTCCTCAACAAGACAGATTCTTGAGGGACACTCTGGGATCACGGGCAGGAGCTCTGATGTCTCAGTCTTCACACCTTCCTGCTGTGGAAGAACTTCCCCAGGGGGAAGAAGCTTTCGGGTACTTAGGAGTGGCAAGATATCCCGGGTCTCTGTGGGGCGAAGAGGTCGTGAGGCCTTCAGTCCGCTAGTGCTGGAGAGCCTTTGCTGACGAACACCTGGCCTGGAGATATGGGAAAGACCTGAGGAGTATCCTAGTCAACTCCAGGCAAAGGTGGGTGTAATGCAAGATGATATGAGCCAGGGTAGTAGTGCTGTCCAAGGTGTCGCCTAGGGAAATAAGGGATAGGTTTTGAAAAGCAGAATCAGGTTGCTTCTGCCTACCCTGGCTTCTTGCGCTTGGCCCCATTATCCTTTTTCCGACCCTTCTGTGGTGATGAAGGTCGACACTGCTGTTCACCGGGGTCAATATTGGGCTCAGACTCTGAGAGTGGGAAGCGGTCAATGGACCAGTCAGTGTTGTCGGTGAAGATCTTTGAGCCCAGAGTCACGCAGGGTGCAGTTTGATGTTCACTGAGGACCTACAAGGCCATCAGGCCATGTCGTTAACTCTAACCAGGTGAGGCTGACCAGCTCCTCAACTCCTTGGCTGGGGTCAGCACTGACCTGGCCCTGGGGGTTGACTAGCACTGTCACACAGCCTCGGCTAGATTGGAATTGGAAGGGGTCCTGGCCTGAGGACACTGGCAGCTGCTTCTTGGTCCTGCTGGTACCTTCGCCCCATACCTAGGGAAAAGCCAGGTACTAGGTGAGGAACAGTGTGGACTGGGACAAGGCAATGTGGGCTAGCAGGCAGCAGGGCTCACCGTGATGTGGTGCTGCGGGGCTAGCAGAGTACCAGGTGGGAAGCGGTATATGCACACAGGGAAATCCCTCACAAGCTGCTGCAGAACAAAGCCACCCAGGTCAATCGTCTCTGCCTGTGACTGGTTGATGATGCGGATGAACTTCTCTCGGTGGCTGACGGCAGCAATCTTCAAGCAGCAGCCAAATGGGCTGGAGGCAGAAAGGGATGCTGAGTAGGGAAGAGGGGATCCATCCACCCAAGAAGCCACCCTTCATACAGTCCTTCCCACATTTCCTGGTGTGCTCATGGCTGGGCAGCCCTCACTTCAACTGGGGTCTTGTATATGGGTGGTGAAGGTCTGTATAGGATTCCAAAACAGTCTTGCTATACGAGGGTGAGCGGCTTTTATGGAGATCTAGAAAAAGAAGTCCTTTATGGGGGTGAAGACCATGAGCGAGAGTCCAGTGGGATGTTCCCTGGGAGGCCAGACCAGGGGTCTACATAATAGGGAAACAGCCACTGGGTTCAGATCCTGGGCAGAAGACATGCCTAGGACTCTGGGCAGAGATGAGAGGTTGCTAAGGAGTGAAAGGAAGATGCACCCAACTCCACCTTCTGTGTATCCGTTGAAGCTCCTAGTGCATTCCTGCATCTGCTCAGAAGCTAAATTTGTTCCCTGGGGTGGCTGGCCAGTCATCTTCTTTGCCTCAGAATGCAGAACCATCTGGCAGCTGCTGATGTCAGACTCGGTACTTTCCAGGCTACTGGTGTCTACCAAAGGCAAGGTGCTCCACTCCAGGATCTTGGCAGGCTTCTCTTTGTGCTTGATGGCATCCTCCGAGTCCCAGGCATCCACTTCAGAGGCCGGGGGCTGGGACAGCCTGGGACCATGATGTGTTCAGAGGCTGCTTTGGCTCCTAGAACCAAGGCCCATGCCTCCACCCCAGCCAGCCTCCCCAGTGCAATGGGAACCCTGGTTTGTGTTCTAGAACCTCAGGAGTCAGACTCAGCAATGGTAAATTAATAAAGTTGATGCTGACCTTGGAGCTCCTCCCCTTGTTCTGAACCTATTCTACAGACTACACATCATAGCTGAGGCTTAGGAGTTACATGACTTAGCTGGGGGCACTTAAGGATTCAGTGAGAACTAGTCCACTTCTGTCAAGCCAGGTCCTCCCTTCCCCTGACCCTTGGGGACTCCCTGACCAATGCAGTTACTTTTGATCCAAATGGAAACTCATGTTGGAGAAGAGGTTGGGATATCGGTGGGCAATGCTGTTCCAATCTACATCCTCCAACCGGAAACCCTGACAGGAAATAAGAGGTTTGTGGTTCTCCCATCTTGTAGGGCTTCAGAGGCCTTATCATACATACATGTGGTAAACCTCCTGTGGCAAGCCTTGCTCACCTCCCCAGCCGCGGGAACTTCAGCATACTCAGAAGAGTCACTGGGCTCCCTTAGAACCTCTGCAGTGACCACCTGCAAGAAGGAACAACAGACTAGCTGGCAGGGAGCTTGAGAGAGGTTACCCTTCCCCCACAGGGCCTCTCCTTTTGACCTTAACAGCACTGTGTGTGTACTAAATGAGGAGTGCTCCTTGTGGAGGCATCTCAAGGGAGACAGGTTTCTCAGGCAGGCCTGGAGGGAGCCCCAACAAAGACACCTGCCTACACTCAAGGAGTGTTGGGGAGGGGTACCTGAGAGGTATCATTAGGTCAGGAGCACAAACTCACCTCCACACTGCCAGTCTGAGACCTCAGCATGCGCCCCACCCAAGAGGAACGGGCTAGCTGTAGAAGGCATGATTTTTGAAAGGTCTGAAGCTCAGTCTCGAGCTGCTGCATTGCACAGAGGTTCTGCTGCAGTTTCTCCTCTAACTGCTGTTTCTCCTGATGAAGAGTTCCTGCCAGTGAGAGAGGCCTCCAGCAGCCCCACCTTTCAGACCAACCCTAGGTGGGTAGCTACAGCCTGCCAAGTCATTGCCCAGTTCCCAGATCCCACCCCCTCACCTGCTGAGCTTGTTCCTTCTGTGTTTTCAGCTCCTGGGTAAGCTTCTGGACCTGGTTCTGCAGGAATTTGTCTTGTCTTTTGGAGTTCCTGGTAGGAGGGGCAATCTTAGCAGTCTGTGTCAAGCAAGGGTTCCCGAGAGTAGGTTAGTAGTGAAGGAGGCCCCCAGCCACCAAACCCTGAAGGCACATACTATAACAGGCCAGTGCAGATTAAACCCTAACAAGGATGGGCAGGGGTCTCCATGCTAGGAAATAGGTTTACATTTCCAGCACACTTATTCAAGGGTATGGCAGGTGTCAAGTCATACAAGGAGTAAAGTTAGAAGCAATCAGGTAGAGGAGGGCTCAGTGGTTGAGGCTGGGGTCAGACAGAAACTAGGAGCTACAGCAGGGTAGGACCAGAGTTGGGCTGAGGGTTTCACCACTGACCGCTCAGAGGGAATCCCTGCCACCTCCTGCAAGATGTAGTAGTATCGGGCATTCTGGCCATTCTGAACAGCCCACCGAAGTGCCTGGATCTCTAGTTCTCTCTGTTCCCATAACAGCCTCAGGGTACGTGGGTCCAGGGTTTCAGGGGCTAACCTGCAATTCCAGTCCCCTGTGGTTTGATCAGGCTGGCCCATTGGCTGGCCCAGCCCAGGAGGCTGCCCCACCCCCTGCCTCCTTACTGCTGCTTGACGGAGCAGCCCATCGGTGTACATGTATAGAGCTTAGTGCTCTGAGAACCGGAAGGAGCCGCTCTGTCCACGGGTGTGCCAACCGGAGACCCTAAGTCACTGCTGTCTGGCTGTACACCTGCTGGAGCTGGGGATACCTGCTTATCTTCAGACTCCTGGGAAGACTTAGGGGCCATGCTCGATGTTGGTCAGGAGCTGGGAAGGAAGGAAGCAGAATAGAGTCTGCCCTGTGTCCCAGGTGTGGGAACCTCATGGGACTCTTGTGTGCCAGAGAGGTCCAGTTAGCACTTGGCAGTTCTTTCTGAGGAGGCCTACAGGTAACTACTCAATAGGACATAGGACTGCTGCTCATACAACTGTCCTAATCTCTCTGTTTCGGACTAAGACAGCAGATCACTTCCTGGGTAGCATATCCCCAGTATATACATATATTCCTTACTGTCCCTTCTTTTCCCCCTTCACCTCAGCCAAGAGCTAAGATCAGAGGTGCTAACCTTTTGCCTGAAACTCTTATTCATGTCCCTCCCAGCCCAGGAACTCACCACCATACTCACCTGAGGCCTAAACCCACAGAAGGCCTAGGGAAGGAAGCATTCTATACTGTTGCCATGGATTTCTGTACCTGAGGGGGTGGGGGAGGTATCTGTTACCAGAAGCCTCCAGAGAGACACAGGAGGTCAGGGCCATGAGTGTACTCTGTGCCAATACAGTTTGGATCTGTAAGCTAGATTACTACCCACTCAGCTAAGCTAAGGAGGCCCAGGGAACTATACAAATCCCTGGAACCTGTCCTTAACCAGAGGTGATAGGCTGGTACTAGCAAACAATGGCATCCTATGAGTAAATTCAGTGTGTGTGTCTGGGTGTCTGCGTGTCTGTGTGTGTGTGGGGGGGGAAGAGATATGTAGGTGTCGAGTATATAAATGGTCCTAGGGAGGTGAGCTGATTAGGGGGCAGTCAAGGATGTTGATAAGAGACTGGAGTGGGTGTGCTAACTCTAGCCAACAAGTGAAGCTGTGTCTGATAGCCATCTACCTAACTCTTGGAAGCCTTATCTTCCTGTGTTTATCTCCACATCTCCGGGCTCTCCTCAATGGTGATTCCACTAGTGAACCCTGAAGGACATAGCTTCTACCTCAGAGTGGAAGTGAGGCCTAGAAGGTTCCTTCTACCTTGTCTCTTCCACAGCCTCATACTTCCATCTGCTTTCTGATGGCCACAAGGGCTTGGGAACCCCCTCCCACAGCTCTGTGATTGGGAAGAGCACATAGAGCTGGTCTGCCTTGATTTAGCCCACACAGGACAGCAGGGAAGATGTAGAAGCAGGGGCCCGCTTCAGGGAGGACACTGGGTCCATTGAGGGAGGGGAGAGGATGGAACTTTAAACAAAGACCCCAGGATCTTTGTCCCAGTCAGCCTCAGGGACGATCCCCTCCCACACCAGGGTGCAGGGCCCACTAGACTACTTGGCCCCTAATCTCTGCATCCCTCGGGGAGCAGCTGGAGATGGGACGAGTGGGGCAGGGGGCGTTCATGGTCTTTCTTCCCGGTGTCCTCAGCCACAGATTCCTAAGGGAGCAAGGTGGAAGAGGCCTAGCCCACGGGGCTAGTGAAGGGAGGGCGACTTTTGAGCTCGGGTGCACGTCAGGGTTGCAGGATTCCAGTCAGGAGCCCTCTCTGAAGTCGGCTGAGGAAGTCAGCTCAGGAGCTGGGAACACACCTCACCCGGGCCAATCAGCCCAGAGCGAACGCAGCTGCAGACGCGCTTCCGCGTTGATCAACAGAGGTGAGCATCTCGGGCGACTCCGTCCTGCCACCTACTCAGGGCCCCGCCCACACCTGGTTGCCTCCGGGGCGGGACCGAATAACGAGCCAATGGGGCGTGGTGGGAGAAAGACTGCCAATGGGAGTGGGTATGGGGCGGGAGACACACGCCTCCGAGCTAATGGGGTGCTGTGGGGCGGGGCTTGAAGGCCGGGAGCCAATGAGGCTGTGAGGTTGGGCGCGCCGCGGCGCTGGGACAGCAGGTTGAGGCGGCACCGAAGCGCCTAAGTCTCGGAGGCCGGCAAGTACCCAGGTGAGCTCTGCCGGGTTCTCGAGACTCCTGAGCACTGGGCGCGGCATCAGGGAGCCGTCTTCGACCGAGGAGAAGCGGATCTGGGTGAAGGGACGCGTGGTGGCTGTGCTGCACCTGCGTCTGTCCGCTGCGGAATGGGACGTCTGGATCCCGCTCTGCCGGGGATCAGCCGTGAGGCGGGCTGTGCCCCCCCCCCACAGTGGGGCGGGACCACCAGAACCCAGAGCACCGGCCGGACGGGAGGGACTGCGGAGGCGGACCAGGGGGACTGGCTTGGGGCAGAGGGAGCTCCTTAGGTCTGAGGTCGGTTCGGAGATGGAGGTCTGTCTTGAGTTGTGACTCTCAGCTTCTCCCGGGCCAAAGACTGTTCCCTCCCTGGGGGGCGTTTCCATGACTGTGGACGGCGTTGTATTTGCATATAGTCGCTACTAGGTGCCTGGGGACGGCTGCCCTCGTGAAAAGGGTAGTGGCCTTTGAGCCAGGTGACCGGGGGACAGGAAAACCTGGACCTGGTTAATGATTCGCCCCGTTCCTGGAGTGGGGTGGGTGGGGCAAGAGGAGGCTGGTGAAGGAGGGGACGCCTCAAAATGCTCTTGAGGGCCAAACTAGTTCCCCAGCCACTCCAGGAATGTGTGGCCTGCGGGTGGGGCTGGGCACAGGAGGGCAGGGCTGAAGGGCCACAGTCCAGAGCCAGTTGTTGTGGCAAGCCAAGAGAAGAGGAAGGCCAGGCTATGGTGGAGGTAGACCTGGCCTGATCTTATAGCCTGTGCCCTCCCCACAGGACAGGGATGGTCTTGGAGCTTGTGGCCATGGAGCTGAAGGTATGGGTGGATGGCATCCAGCGGGTGGTCTGTGGGGTCTCAGAACAGACCACCTGCCAAGAAGTGGTCATTGCGCTAGCCCAAGCTATAGGTGAGTTCCCTGGGGACAAAGAAACCAAACTGCTGGGGCTGTGGTCCAGCAGCTTCTTCCCTTCCATGGAGGGTGGGGTTGACTCCCCTTTGATTGATCTATTCTTTAAGCCAGTAGATAGAGGGGGACATAGGCTGAACCTGTCTTTCCTCCACAGGCCAGACAGGTCGATTTGTCCTTGTGCAGCGTCTTAGGGAGAAGGAACGACAGCTGCTGCCACAGGAGTGTCCCGTGGGAGCCCAGGCCACCTGTGGACAGTTTGCCAATGATGTCCAGTTTGTCCTGAGGCGGACAGGGCCCAGCTTATCTGGGAGGCCCTCCTCAGACAACTGTCCACCCCCAGAACGATGCCCGGTTCGTGCCAGCCTTCCCCCAAAGCCATGGGCAGTACCAGGCCGTGAGCCACGCAAAGCACTGACCTTCAACCTTGGATGTCCCAAGCTGGTCCCCAGCCCATCGATCCCTGAACCTACAGCCCTGGTAGGACCCATACCAGACTGCTTTGCAGACCTGCAGGGCCTAGAACTCAGGATACAGAGGAATACTGAGGAGTTGGGCCATGAGGCCTTCTGGGAGCAAGAGCTGCAAAGAGAACAAGCCAGGGAGCGTGAGGGACAGGCACGCCTGCAAGCGCTGAGTGCAGCTACTGCTGAGCATGCTGCCCAGCTGGAGGCCCTAGATGCCCAAGCCTGTGCCCTGGAGGCAGAGCTTCGACTGGCTGCTGAGGCCCCTGGTCCTCCTTCAGCTACAGCATCTGCTGCTGAGCGCCTACGCCAGGACCTAGCCATCCAGGAGCGGCATAGTCTGGAGATGCAGGGCACCTTGGCCTTGGTGAGCCAGGCTCTGGAGGCTGCTGAACACGCCCTTCAGGTGAGCCCAGATCTAGACCCCTGTCAACTCTACCTGCTACACAGCCAGTCTCAACCCTCCACCTGCTGCACAGGCAGTTTGGGGAGCTGATAGAGAATCAGAGCATGCTGTACATGAAGAAGAAGGTCGTGGCCTTGTTCCTGAAGGTCCTCTGTACCCCCAGGCCCAGGCTCAGGAGCTAGAGGAGCTGAACAGAGAACTCCGTCAGTGCAACCTGCAACAGTTCATCCAGCAGACAGGGGCTGCATTGCCACCGCCTCCACAGCTGGATAGAGCCGTCTCTAGCACACAGGTCAGAGCAGTTCTGGAAAGGCATGATGGTGGGGGCTCCCCTCGATCTCAGCTGACCTGCTTTCCCCACAGGACCTTCTGCCTCCAACTAGAGAAGAGTTCCTCCAGGGAGTCCCCCAGAGCCACATCCTAGTGTCCAGCCTGAGTCCTGAGGGTATGTTTCTCTCCCTACCTCCCCCCTTCCACCCTCCCACCCCGCATCCATGGGAAGGGCCCAGCTCTGGTCTTAGCCCATTCAGCCTGTGTCTTTCTCACAGTTCCTCCTATGAGGCAGAGCTCCTGGAGGTAGCAGTTCCTGCCCAAGTAGGGATCCCGAAGACAGATGAGCCAGCACAGCTGGGATGAGTACCTGGATAGTAGGAGTATGATCACAGGGTTCCTTCCCTAAAGCTATGATGTCCTGCGGTTTCTGCTTCAGTGGGAAAGAGTGCTGGCAACTGTTATCCTAGTCTCTTTCAAATCTCCCAAGTCCCCTGAAGAAGTAATACATGGGCACAGTTCAGAACGTACCAGGCCCCAAAGGCATGGAGAGAAGTGCGGACAGTGTATTCATCCTGTGTGTGTGTGTGCCTGTTATGTACTTCACTATGTGTGTGCTGCCTTCCTTGCCCTGACAACCTCAATAAATTACCTTTCAAAGGTGCTTCGGTGTGTCCTGAAGTTGTACTACTGGGCACTGTCTGCAGTTCAGAACCTGAGGCCCACATGGTGGCTACTGCTGGGTTCTTAAGAAAGCACTATAGCTCCCAGGGCCCCATGCTATGAGTGTTCCTAGGGGTATTTATTTGTAACCCCCTAACCTGGTGAGGCCTGCCAGCTGAGCCCTGGCCTGGGTTTTTTACCTGGACCCTTCTTCCCTGGCTTTCCTTGTTTGGCCCGTGTGCCACTAGCATCAGGAACTGAGGATGCCTGGACAAGCTAGACCTGCTGGTCAGGTTTGCTGAGAACTTGTAGGGGTGAGTCCTGGACTCCTAGGTCAAGTTTGTGACTTCTGGGTTGGCTAGGCCCAGGGAATTTTCCCTAGAAAACTTTGTTAGCCCTAAGGTAG